CACATTTAGAAAACTGGATGAACATGTAAGGATGACTGAGCAGTAGTAGGCTGTATTTTGACTATTGGACTGAGATTTAAAAAAAAAAATTCCCCACTCGCCCCCCACTTTGGGACAGTCTTTTATTCCTTCCTTCAAGCTCGGGTCCTCTACCAGAGGCCTGGGAGCCTGAGGGTCCTGCGCAGTATCTTAGCTGTTCCTAGGACTGCACTCAAAGATCTCAGTTATTGTTCCTGGGATCTGTTGGAGCTACTCTCCCAGTTTGGGGGTCACAGCCCCCAATGTTCCTATTACCATGGGGACCACTTGTGCCTTCACCTTCCACATCTTTTCTAGCTCTTCTTTCAGCCCTTGGTATTTCTCAAGCTTCTCGTGTTCCTTCTTCCTGATGTTGCTATCGCTTGGGATTGCTACATCTATCACTACGGCCTTCTTCTTCTGTTTATCCACCACTACTACATCTAGTTGGACGGCCATTACCAGTTTGTCAGTTTGTATCTGGAAGTCCCACAGGATCTTAGCTTGGTCATTCTCAACAACCTTTGGAGGTGTATCCCATTTTGATTTTGGGACTTCCAGCCTGTACTCGGCACAGATGTTTCTGTACTCTATGCCAGCCACTTGGTTATGGCGTTCCATATATGCCCTGCCTGCTAGCATCTTGCACTCTGATGAAACTAATATTGAACTATTTGGAAAGAACACGCAGCACTTCATCTGGCGTGAAAAGGGCACTGCATATCATCATGAAAACATCATCCTAACTGTAATGTATGGTGGAGCAAACCATGATTTGGGCCTGCTTTGCTGCATCAGGGCCTGGCCAGCTTGCAATCATTGAGGGGAAGATGAATTCCAAAGTGTATCAAAAATTTCTTCAGGATAATGTGAGTATGTCTGTACATCAGCTGAAACTCTGTAGAAGGTGGGTGATGCAACAGGACAATGACCCAGAACACCAGAGCAAGTCCACAACAGAATGGCTCCAGAAAAACTAAATCCGCCTTTTGGAGTGGCCACATCAGAGCCCAGACGTCAACCCAGTAGAGATGCTATGGAATGACTTGAAGAGAGCCATACATGGGAGACGTCCAAAGAATATGACAGAGCTAAAGCAGTTCTGTCAGGAAGAATGGACTACAATTCCTCCTGAACGATGTGTAGGTCTGATCCACAGCTACAGGAAACACCTGGTTGAGGTTATTGATGCCAAGTGGGGGTCAACCAGTTATTAATTCTAGGGGTTCACTTACTTTTTCCACTACCATTTTGAATGTTGAATGAGTGTGTTCAATAAAGACATGAAAGATCAGAATTTTTTTTTTCTATTTTAGGCACGTTATATTTGTCAGTACTCGACTTAGATGAAGATCAGATCACATTATATGACAAATTAATGCAGAAACCCATGAAATTCCAAAAGGTTCACATACTTTTTTTTGCCACTATATATGCATATGTAGTTGTTTGGAACCCACTCATCAAACAAGACTGCAGTCTTACACTACTGCCCCGATAACAGCATGTGAGTCTGTCGCAGTGTCCAACAAAGAGGCTGGCAGTCTCGACTACATCTTGCCTCTGAATGCTTAACACTTCAACTTAGTCAGCTATTTTATATCTATAGTACAGTACCTTCCCTTTTATTATGTGGTCATGCATTTTTCTAACTAATGGACTGTACAGCACAACAGTCACATTACAGCAGACTGAGCACACGCTTTTTGATGTTGTTGTTGCTGTTGTTGTTACTAATTTTAACATTTGTAGTTTTTTCTTTGTTTTCTTCAAGTGTGGGCTGTTTAGTTCCCTGTGGAAAACCATCTTTGTCACTGCTAGCACTGAAACACAGATACTGACTGGTTTTCAGACTCCCCCAGTACAGTAAAACTGCACATTTTAGAGTGGCCTTTTATTGTGGCCAGCCTAAGGCACACCTGTGCAATAATCATGCTGAGAAATAGGCCTTTTGTGTACATAAAACAAGTCGTAGATCTTTGAGTTCAGCTCATGAAAAATGGGGGCAAACACAAAAGTGTTGCGTTTATAATTTTATTCACTGTAGATTTCTTTTGCTGTAGTTCAGTTTCTTCTATTGTGAAGCAATTGGTAGCTCGCAAAGCTATCCTTTCAAATTTGTTTCCCCAACACTAAAAAGGAAGGCAGATCCAACTGCATCAGAATAGGCCAGCAGGTTTTAAAGAGTGCCCAACGTCAGAGGTGATGCGGGCCACTGACAGCTTGACAAAAGCAAATGGTTCCACATCTGGGCTTCTAGTTTTGCATGCAGCTTCCCTCAGTGTACCTCAGCACTATTATTATATCTGTCCCACTGCCTTACAGTGGCACAAAAACTTTGTCTAAGGATAGCTTTGGGAAACAGCAACTCTAAGATTTACCTGCTGAGGAATGAGGATGAGGAGGAGAATCTGTCACAATTTGATGGCAGTGTGTACTAGCCTGATGAAATGAAAAGCATTTCTGAATGGAAATGATTACAGTGCTATCAGCTCAGCATCAGGGCATTTTCTTGCTTTGGATGCACCAGGGTTTCCTCTGTAACTCTATCAGTGTCCTCATAGTCACCCCACTGCAGCTGGACCATGTGCTCCACAGCTGAGGTTTACTGGCAGAAGAAAACCACTACAAAGTCAAAAGAAAAGAGCAGGGTGCCCCTCCAACCACTGAGTATTCCAGCACATGCAGCTTCAGAGGCTAGAGACATACACATGAGCAAAGTTGTGCATGTGCAGACACATAAACGCCATCCATGTCTCGATGCACGTTTTGTGGGAATTCACTACACCACACGAAAGGTGAGGTCAGCATGTGGAATAAACAGTACTCTAATTTCAAAAGCAGGCCCAGTGGGTAGGAGAGCTGTTTTAGAAAGGTCACAAGTTTGAAGCACTGAAACCTATACATGCCTGCTTGCTATCTCTAACCTACAATTTCAGTGTTCATTTTTTAAGACCTGGGAGGAAAGTGTATCAACTCCTAAAGTAAAAATACATAAATAAACACTAACATAACTGGAACATAAAGGAATATACTTCCAGGGCAATTGGAGGTGGCGATTGCAAAGTTGATCATGACTACAAATTATGAGAATTATTCACAGATCACAAAATACTGGAATATTCCCTTTTCTTTTGACTCATCACTTATTTGAAGCTGGACAATAAGATCTAATAACCTGAGGGTGCATGTGTATCTTAGATCAGCATCAATTTGCTGCAACATGATTATAAACTTTCCTGGTTGAGCTGTCCATCGCTATCACTTTCCTAGAGATGAAGAAATCTATCACACATTTCTACTCTCTTTGATGGTGTTGTAGCCTCAGTAGTAGCCTAGGTACACTGACTCATGCTGCTGTTTTCTGCTTTCTCTGCTTGTTGGCTTCTCATTTTGCCTAACCCATCTCTCCCTTGTGTTACTGAAACTGTAATTTTACATGTTTTTGTCTTTATGCTAGTTAAGATGATATGGTCAAGCTACTCAGCTGCCACTTGTAGCTGGATACTTAGCATACAGAAATGAGTAGCAAAGGTTGCCAAAATTATTTCTCAAAATGTAAAGTATTTCTTTATTCTCATTAGTTTTTAAGTTATAGAAGATACATTTTTCATGTTTCAATGTATAGAAATAACATTTACTTGTCTTGACGAAAATAATACTTTATGTTTCTAACAAAATAAATGAAAGAAAATTATTATTACATCCTGGTTGCTATATTTGGACTGGGATTGTTAAATCATTACAGCAAGAAGAAGAATATAAAAAAGATGGAATAATGCTGTGGTGAAAAGTGGAACAGTGGCAATGTGTATATGTGAAGGATGGGTGGGTATGACTGCATCTCTGCTGCCTCACTGCCAGCTCAGACAAGTCTCAATTGGCTCTTCCTTCCACCTTAGTGGGCCTTTGGAATCAAAACAGCTGGCATCATGCAGCAGGAAGTTGGGAAGACCTTACGCAAAATGAGACTTGGGTTAAAAAGTGTTCTTTGACCCAAACGAGGCCAGAGGAAGGTCTTTCTAAAAGGCATCCTAACACCCGGGTGGCGATTGCTGCAGATTTTCAAAAGATCAGAACAAGATGCCAGTGACAGGATGATTAAATGAAATCCACATAATCGAAGTTGTGTGGAAATGCTCTAAAACCATGAATATAGATGGAATATGTAGGTATGAAGACATAAAATACAGTGCGTCCCCACATTGGTAAGACACTCAAATCTCATCATGTATCAAATATAGCTATGTAGAGTAAAAGGAGATGAGCAAAAACCTCCTAACATTATCCAGATTTTACAAGACCAATTTAAGTAATGCTCTCATCTGCAGATTGAGTATTCATGTTTCATTAGCCTACAGTGCCACTGTGTGGTCACTTGTGATCACCGAAATATTATATATACACAGTATACGCACACACACACACAGGAACAAGGGAAGGAAGAGCAGGAACCCCTCATGGAAGGACAAACCCCTGCACGGTATGTACCATCGTACAGGCTGGAAGTCCCAAAGTCAAAATGGGATACACCTCCAAAGGTGGTTGAGAATGACCAAGCTAAGATCCTGTGGGACTTCCAGATACAAACTGGTAATGGCCAATCAACCAGACATAGTAGTGATGGACAAACAGAAGAAGGCTGTAGTGATAGATGTAGTAATCCCAAGCAATAGCAACATCAGGAAGAAGGAACATGAGAAGCTCAAGAAATACCAAGGGCTGAAAGAAGAGCTAGAAAAGATGTGGAAGGTGAAGGCACAAGTGGTCCCCATGGTAATAGGAACATTGGGGGCTGTGACCCCCAAACTGGGAGAGTGGCTCCAACAGATCCCAGGAACAA